GACTGACGGCCTTGGTGCCCCGGCAGGTCGTGGTTCTCACCAGTTCGCCCCTGGAGGAGCAGCTGCGGGTGGGGGAGCTCTGCCATGCCAGAGGCATCAAGCTGGTGGTGGCTGACGGGAGCGGGCGCTGGGGAGCAGGGCCCCAGACAACTCTGCCTGGGGAGGGGGAGGAGGCTGGAGCCCTGGGCTGGAGGGGCCTGGGGCTGTTGGGGTGGGGCCGGGTCCCTCACATTCCCCTCCACCCACAGCCAGCTCTTCTGTGACTTCGGGGACGAGATGGTCGTGACAGACCCCAACGGGGAGCAGCCGCTCAGCGCCATGGTCTCCATGGTCACCAAGGTGAGGCCAGCGTGGACACCTGGGTACTCCCCTGGCTTTGGGAGGGGAGTAGGGTCTGGTGGTTAGAGCGGGGGAGGGCGCCGGGACGCCTGCGTTCTCCCCCGTTTCTGGGAGGGTGGTGGTGTCTAGTGGTTAGAGAAGGGGGCAGGGCACCTGGGTTCCCCCCCATGCTCTGGGAGGGTGGTGGTGTCTAGTGGTTAGAGAAGGGGGCAGGGCGGCTGGGTTCTTCCCTGTTGAGGGAGGGGGGCAGGGCACCTGGGTTCCCCCCATGCTCTGGGAGGGTGGTGGTGTCTAGTGGTTAGAGAAGGGGGCAGGGCGGCTGGGTTCTTCCCTCCCCCCCCATGCTCTGGGAGGGTGGTGGTATCTACTGGTTAGAGCAGAGGGCAGGGCGGCTGGGTTTCCCCCTTTAGGTTCTGGGGTGGTGGTAGTGTCCAGTGGCTAGAGCAGAGGGCAGGGCGGCTGGGTTTCCCCCTTCAGGCACTGGGAGGGTGGTAGTGTCCAGTGGTTAGAGCAGAGGGCAGGGCAGTTGGGTCCCCCCCCATGCTCTGGGATGGTGGTGGGGTCTAGTGGTTAGAGCAAGGGGCTGGGTTTGATCTGTCTGTGCGTCGGCAGGGCTGCCCGGGGGAAGTGACGTGCTTGGACGAGGCGCGGCACGGCTTTGAGAGCGGGGACTTCGTCTCCTTCACCGAGGTGGAGGGCATGGAGGAGCTCAACCACTGCCCCCCCATGGAGATCCAAGTGCTGGGTGAGGTGCTAGGTGCCCTGGGGGCTGGAGCCGGGGGCACCGTGGGCCTGAGGGGGGCACCATGGGGCAGGGAGCTCTGCCGGGGCTGCTGTCCCTGGTCCACGCACCCCACCACGCTGAGCCCCACCCTTCCCCACAGGGCCGTACACCTTCAGCATTGGCGACACCAGCAGCTTCTCCGAGTACGTGCGTGGGGGCATCGTCTCCCAGGTCAAGATGCCCAAGAAGATCAGCTTTGTGAGTGGCGGGGGGGCGCGCCCGGGCGGGGGGGGGGCAGGGCGGGCGAAGGGGCAGGGTGCCCTGATCGCTGGGTGCTGCCGAACCTGGGTCGGTGTCGTCAGTAGGGTTCAGAGTGAACGGCTTTGGGTGTCCGGGGGCAGTTGTGAACGGAGCTGGGCTGTGTGGAGGGTCAGGCTGGGGGACGATCCTGCTGGCTGCCCCTCACTCCTGCCCTCCCCACAGAAACCCCTGAGCGTGGCGCTGGCCCAGCCTGACTTCGTGGTGACCGACTTTGGGAAATTCGAGCGCCCGGCCCAGCTGCACTTGGCCTTCCAGGCCCTGCACGACTTCGAGCGCCGGCACCACCGCCTGCCCCGGCCCCGCAGCGAGGTAGGGCTGGGGGGGACTGTGGAGCGGGAGGGGAGCTGACCTCTGCTTGCTCAGTGTCTATTGTCCCCCCCCCATCCCGCACCCCCAGTTGTGGTCTGTCCCTGCCCCCTGGGGCATTGTGTATCCTGCCCCCAGCTGTGTCATTCCTGGCCTGTCTGTGTTGCATGTGTGCCCTGTGGGGTGCTGTGAGACCTCCCACTATGGGCTGGCACCTGCAGGGCTCAGGAGAGGTGTCAGTGTATTGGTGGTGCACACGCCAACATGCCTCCGTGCACAGAACACACTTATTCCACACGTGGCTAGAAAAGATTCACGGGAACATTGGTGGCAACCCTGCCCCATGGTGCACTGTGATCGGCCCCACCGGCTGTGTCCCTTCCCCACCCCGGGGGCGCTGTGTGACCCCTGTCCCCCGCAGGTGGACGCAGCCGAGGTGCTGGCGCTGACCCGGGCGCTGAATGAGCAGGCCGCGCCGGCGCTCAAGCAGGAGGAGCTGAGCGAGGGGCTGATCAAGGAGCTGGCGTACCAGGCTGCTGGGGACTTGGCGCCCATCAACGCCTTCATCGGGGGGCTGGCCGCCCAGGAGGTCATGAAGGTAGCGCCAGGAGGCCTGGGTCCCGGCCCCAGGGTGGCGAGGGGGGTGAGAGCCGCACTCCTGGGAGTGGGGCTGAAATGCTCTGGGGCTCCCAAGCTGTGGGGGGTGCGGCCGAGTGGTACCCCTGGGGACTGGGCCCTCTGGGGCCCAGGGAGCCACCTCTGGGTGGCCGGAGCGTGGGCGAGGCTGGCCGGGAGGGACCTGCCCTGACACCGCCCCTCTGTACCAGGCCTGCTCTGGGAAGTTCATGCCCATCACGCAGTGGCTCTACTTCGACGCGCTGGAGTGTCTGCCTCAGGACAGCAAGGAGGCGCTGACCGAGGAGGCGTGCCGCCCCGTGAGTGGCTGGGGGCCAGGCGGGGAGCAGTGGGCGGAGGTGGGGGGCACTGGCTGAGCGGGGGATGGGGG